GGTTTTGGGTTTAGGCTGGTTTAGGGCTTTAGGGTGGTTTAGGGGGTTAGGGGGTTGGGGGTATAGGGGTTTAGGGGTTTAGGGGTTTAGGGGGTTTAGGGTTTAGGGGTTTAGGGTGGTTTAGGGGATTTAGGGTTTAGGGGGTTCAGGGTTTAGGGGTTTTGGGTTTAGAGGGTTTAGGGTTTAGGGGCTCTAGGGTTTAATTAGGGTTTAGGGGTTTAGGGTTTAGAGGGTTTAGGGTTTAGGGGGTTTAGGGTGAGGGGTTTGGGGATTAGGATTCAGGGGTTAGGGTTCAGGGATTAGGGTTTAGGGATTGCAGCTTAAGTGTTCGGGGGGTTTGGGGTTTAGGGGTGTAGGGTTTAGGGGATTCGGCTTCAGGGGGATTAGGGTTGAGGGATTAGAGTTTATTAGGTGTTTGGGGTTTGGGCTTTTGGGGATTAGGGTGTAGGATTTAGGGATCTGGTTTTAGGGTTTAAGAGAAACGTGTGCTCTCTGTCAGTAACAGTAATAGTAACAATAAAATGACAGTAGCAATCGTCATCTATGCCCGTTGCTTCTTTTGACCCGTGCTTTGGGCACGACGACACCCCCAGCCACACAAACAAGGCACCAGTAATAGTTGCATCATGTAGTAACGATGATTCCCTAAACCTAAACCCTAAACCCTAAACCTCTCAAAACATGACCAACTCGATGAAGCCTTGCTGCATTACCAGTGATGGCAGCAATACGCGAAACAGGAATCGCGAGCCTTGCGCAAAACGGCAAGGGAGGAACTCCTTAGATTAATTCGTATAGGGTTTAGGGTTTAGGGTTTAGAGGTTTTCTTTTGCAAGAAACCCGAAGGCTGAAGAATGGAAGCCTCCTCGCAAGGCCCCGGCAAGGTGGCGGAGCCGGTTCTTCACTCACCTTCGCCTCGGGCACAGCGACTCCGACAGCCGTCGGGGCTCTCAAAAAGAACTGGTGAGCCTGGGGTTGAGGTCTCTTCTTTTTTAATTAGGGTTGAGGGTACTGGTGAGCCTGGGGTTTAGGGCTCTTCTGGTTTAACTAGGGTTGAGGGTTGGGGGTTTAGGGTGTTTTGGGCCCGCTTTGGCGATTTAGGACTTGTATAGTGCCTTTTCCACGCCCCTTAACGCATTCATGATAGTGCTGATGGCATTTGGGTACGGTTGTGATGGATGAGCGACTGGTGTTGATCGTTCTGGGGAAGTCGTGATCATGTCCATGAATGACGAAGATCAGGCTGATGATGGTTTGTTTTTATGCCGGTTTTCATGAGTCTGAAGAAGCTGGTGATGGTGTTGACGATGATGATGATGATGACGATGATGATGATGATGATGCTGACGATGATGATCATGATGATGACGGTGATGATGGTGATGGTGATGAAAAGGATGATGATCTTGACGATCATGATGGTGACGACTGGTATTGTTGCTATTGCACGGCGACTTGGGCTGCGAGGTTCTCGGGGTTGGATTGTAAATTGTTGTTACAGCAGGCTGGAACTTTATGTTGGGCTTGGGTTCAGTGGTATGCTTTCGAGCTTCATGCGAAAGTGGTAGTGAACGAACCGTTCCTGATGGTCACCATTCTGGTCCGTGCACTTGTCTGCAGGATTTCGATCTGGGTCTGTATTTGTGGGTTGTTGATGTTGATTGACTGCAATGGGCGATTTTGCCAGAATATTCATTGCGAAGGAGCCGCAGTTGACGATAATCCCTAACCCTTCTACTCCCAAAACCCTATAAACCCCCCAATTCATCCCCTATAATCCCTATCGATCCCTTCATAGAACCCCTAAACCCTAAACCCTAAACCCTAAACCCTAAACCCCTTTAAGCGATTGGATCCTTCCGGGGTCTGTTGCCGAGGTTCAAGCGGCCGAGGGTGGCCGCGGAGGCCTCTGCGACAAGTGCAAGAGCTTCCGGGTTTAGGGTTTAGGGTTTAGGGTTTAGGGTTTAGGGTTTAGGGTTTAGGCTTCCGGGTGGAGGTATAAGGAACTTGAAACTTGAACCTCTCCTAAGCCGTGAAGCTTGAAACCCCTACATCCCACCCCCCCCAAAAAAAGCAAAAATCATCCTAACCCCGAAAAACCCTTAAACCTAAACCCCTAAACCCTAAACCCTAAACCATAAACCCAAAACCTACACCCCCAAAAAGCCCTGAGCATGAAGCTTCGCAACTTAAAACAAGTCGCCCCAGTCAGGGTCCCTTTGGAAGCTTGTCCGTTGGGAGGCGAAGAGGGTCTATACGACTCTAGGACTTCTGGGCCGGAAGCCATCATAATTCTACCCTTAGGGCCTATAGGGTTTAGGGGTTTCGGGGTTAGGGGTTTAGGGGTTTAGGGGTTTAGGGGTTTAGGGGTTTAGGGTTTGGGGGTTAGGGTTTAGGGTTTAGGGGTTTACCCCCCTCTCCCCCCCGTCATCAGCCTTGTAGGACTTCAGCTCCCTAAACCCTAAACCCTAAAACCCCTACACCCTAAACCCCACATTATTCCAAAACCCAATGATCTTTCTGGAGGCCGCTATATAACCCTAGAGCGTTTCAAAGGATTCCGCTCACACCCCGTTGCCACATCAAGCCAAGAAAGCCAACCTCGCGTTCGGCGTGCCTTACGACTCCTGGTTCCTCTAGCAGAGCTTGGGGTGTGGTGCTTCGGGCTTGGGGGTTAAGGGTTTAGAATCTAGCGTTTAGGGAGGAACTAGGATTCAGTAGTTGCTTGGGGTAGATACAATCGTAGCATTGGAAACTCAGGAACATGGTCGAGATGCTGCTTCGTATAGAAGCCTGTGTGCTGAGTAGTAACAGATTCCCGGTATTCGCCTCATCTGTCTATCCATCTATCTAATTGGCTGGCTGGCTGGCTAGCTAGCTAGCTAGCTAGCTGGCGACTTGTAGCTAACTGCTTGTTGCTGTCTATCTATCCATCTGTCTATCTATCTATCTATCCATCTGTCTATCTATCTATCTGTCTATCTATCTATCTATCTACCTATCCATCTGTCTATCAGTCTATCTATCAATCTACCTACCTATCTACCTATCTATCTATCTATCTATCTATCTGTACACACACATAACATACCTCCTCAGCCTGGTCTATTCTTCAAGGTTCCTGTGTTAGCTACCTTAGAAGAGCCTCAGTAGGGCTGGGACCTCCTCCTCCGTTGTGTCGGGCTTGGGTCTAACACCTCCACATTAAGGCAAAGACCAAATACCAGCACTCGCATGCCGTCAGCACTCTAATGTCATATCAGGTAGCCAAGATTTTGCGGGCTCCATATACCGAAAAATCCGGTTACTTACGGGCTCTACATTAGGATCCCGTATGGTTTTGCGACTCTCGGCTGCTGCGTGAAGGAACCTCAGCTACCTCGGCAGCCGTCGCCACCGCCGGAAAGACCGCCGCCAGAGCCCACACCGAGCACACCTGCGCCAGGCCGGAGAAGAGTTTAGGGGTCTGGGGCTGCCGGGGTTGGAGTCTTGAGGTAAACAGCTCGAGTTGTGCAACGTAGGGTCATGGGGTTTGGGTCTGCTTGGATTGCAGGGTTGAAAATCAGTAAGACAATCTTGGTGCGGGTTCCACGCGGCCTCGGAGTAGTTCATTCGATTTTGTGTTGGCTGCGCTTGCAGTGCAGTGCATATCTGTTCGGGGGTCGATGCCGACAACCGTGCATTCCAGTAAGAAGTAGACAGTCGCTGACATGTCCGTCATCATGGGCACTTGCGTCATGATCTGAGCCGCGTTATCCGCGTAATCACCGACTGTTTGTGTCACCGTCGCAACCTCCGTCAACATCTTAAGCATCTCTGGGGTCACCACCAGTGTGACCACAGCCCTCATCTTCCTACCTGTCATCATCAGCCTCCCCCTCATATCCTTCATCTTCACTTTCATCATCACCATCCACGGCAGATGGCAAACCTACGTCATGTCAAAGCTAGTCCGGCTGCATGATTCTACACCCTAGCCGCAACTCTGAACCCTGCACCCTTAACCCTAACACCCCCGAAGCCGACACCCTAAATCCCAACCCCTGATCCTTAGACCCTAAACCCTCTAACTCCTGAGCCCTAAACTCAAAACTCCGCAGGAACTCCGCAGAGACCCAGCGTCCCGGAAGACGCAGATCTCTGGGACAGTGTAGCCATGGAGGCACGGGAAAACCTGCGCACGAACTTCGGGGTTCAAAGTTTACCAAGTGTAGGTCTTAAGGGGTTCAGGGCTTCAGGGGCTTGGGGTTACCCTAAACCCTAAACCCCTAAAATAAAGGGCTTACGGTTTAAGACCGAAGCTCCAGAAGTTTCGAAATTTCCCGAAGTCAAGTTATGAGAAACGGACAAAATTCGACAGCAAGCACTGGGGATCCCCGAATTCCTTGTGTGGAGGAATGGGCCTCGAGATTCCAAAATGCCTGGGGTGCATGATGCCATGGCTTGTGCCTGTGGGGTCGCTTTTGGGCACCTTCATAGCATAACTATAATAAAGAACCCAAAGGAAGAATCTTGATAGCTATTCAGGCTTCTATATTACTGCGGTGGTTCGTGCCTCGTCTTTTCTGACTTTCCGCTCCGACATGGTCTCAAGTTAGAGAGCTTAGGGTTCAGGGTTTAAGGGTTTAGGGTTTAGGGGAGAGGGGAGAGAGTTGAGGGTTCATTGGGAGCTTGTTAGTTTATTTCAGGTGTTTGGAAGGTCGAGGGCTGAGGCTTTTTTGTATACTGGGTTCTTGTTAAGGGGCTTAATTTAAGTTACCACAATAGGGATCTACAGTAAATACTAGTTTCCTTCTTATGCTAACTTCAAACGGAATCCCTTAACAAGCACCCAGAAGATGGAGGTCTAAATGCAATGGCTGGTAGTTCTTTCCGGCATCATGACGTATTTTAAGACTCTTCACGCTATGCTTTTAGCGCAGAGTTCAGATCGCGCAAACCCAAATCCTAAAAGCTTTTCACATGCAGTTTCGGGACTTTTAGGGCATCGGGTTCTCCGGAGGAGGAAGCAGAAGACATGCCTGTGGAGATGGGAGATCTCTGGGAGGACTGGGAAGCTGGACTTTGGGGTTTCGGGTTGGCGTATATTAGGGTTTAGGGATTGGGGTTTGGGGTTTAGGGTTTAGGGTTTAGGGTAGAGGGTAGGGTTTCAGAGTGAAAGATGTTGGGGATGTTGTACGCAAGTTCGCCAACCCCGGACATCCTGTCATGCCATGCTCTTCAAAAGCTGGGTAGTTCTCTAAAGTAGGGGCCCTTTTAGGGGTCCTTTTTAAAGGGTGCCCGTACTGTATTGGCGACTTAAAAGGGGACCCTAATTTAGAGAACTACCCAGCTGTCGGTCCATCTTTGTGGAGGTGTTTGTTCCCGGCACTACAGTTGAGCTTTGTACCTTGAAGAGCTTTCGGGTTCGGTGGAGGACTCGTGTCTCTGTGGGAAGCTTCGATGAAGATGGAGGTTTCTTTCTGGACACTGTCCTCAGCCTTCGAACTATCTCGCTGCTACGGTAACTGTAATTTTACCGCTACTCTAGATGTCTGAATAATTAGTAGCAGCGCCCCATTATGGCCACTATGATGTTATCCTTAAGCACTAAACCCTAAACTGTTGTCGGCTGCACAATCCGGTTACGCTTGTTGAGGTCCCTGCACTATGCCCTGACAGTCATCCTTTTCGAAACTCTGGTACCTTACCCTAAACCCGTGCGACACAGTCCCAAACCCTAAATACGCCCTAAACCCTAAACCAAAGCCCGATAAGAGCTAGTACCTTTGCTAAACCAAAGCCCTATAAGAGCTAGTACCCCAAAGGATCCTTAAAGGAACCCTTAAGGGAGCCCTTAAAGGAGCCCTTAAAGGAGCCCTTAAAGGAACCCTTAAGGGAGCCCTTAAAGGAACCCTTAAAGGAGCCCTTAAAGGAGCCCTTAAAGGAACCCTTAAAGGAGCCCTTAAAGGAGCCCTTAAAGGAACCCCGGTCTAATTATCAACATGTGGCCCTGCGAGCTCCTGTCATGATCATTCTTAGCCGGGTTTCCTAGGGTTTAGGTTTGGAGTTTAGGGATGTTTCGGGTCTAGGGATGTTTATAAGGGCTTAGGGATGTGTAGGGTTTAGGAATGTTCAGGGTTTCGGGTCTAGGGATGTTTAGGTTTGGGTTTAGGGATGTTTAGGGTTTAGGGCTTAGGGATGTTTAGGGTTTAGGGATGTTTAGGGTTTGGGGTTTAGGGATGTTTAGGGTTTAGGGGTTCAGCCCCAGCACCCCTTCAAAACGGGCCTCAAGCCCGAAACCCTTGAACCCTGTAACGTCCTCTTCAGCCGAACCCGAAGCCTAAACCCTAAGCTCTCTAGACCCTGTAATCCTTTGTAGCACCCAAGACTTACACCCCAAACCCTAAATCCCTCAAACCGAACCCAAAACCCGAAACCTCTAAAGCTCTAAGAGGCAACCCTGTAAACCCCGAATCCTAAGCCTGAACCCTCAAACACTTGAGCAGAACACTGTAGATAAGTTCGCAACAGCAACCGTGATCTTTAATCCATATTTGGGTAGTTCTCCAAATTAGGGTTCCTTTTTAGGTCCCCCAAAAGGTATGTCACCTGAATACTATGGACCCTAAAAGGGACCCTAAATTAGAGAACTACCCATTTAGCAATCTATAAATCTATAGAGATACCTAAACCCTAAACCCCTAAACCCTAAACCTTAAACCCTTAAACCCTAAGCCCTAAACCCTAAATCCTAAACCCTAAACCCTAAACCCTAAACCCTAAACCCTAACCCTTTAAAAGGAGCCCCACAGCCCCGTCTTTCCCAGGCTGCTGAGGTCGACCTCCAAGCCGAGCTCCGCGAAGAGAGCCGCAGGGAGCCGAAGAGCAAGAGGGGTTTAGGCCCTAATATAGAGGGTTTAGGGTTTAGGCCCTAACATAGAGGGTTTAGGGTTTAGGCCCGAATATAGAGGGTTTAGGGCTTAGGCCCTCATATAGAGGGTTTAGGGTTTAGGGTTTCCCTAATATAGAAGGTTTAGGGTTTAGGGTTTAGGGAGAGGCCTTTATAGTTACCTATACTTTTTTTTTTTTTTTGG